GGTTGGAATGTTTTCTTGATGTGCACTTAACCTTTTTATAAAACTCTCTCTTTTACATGAGTTTCTGTGGATTTGTTTCTCTAAAGTACCCAAACTAAGACACCATGGTACTTTCAATATTCTTCTACAGCAGCACAATTCAAATGCATAGATCAAATCCCTCTTCCTTATTTAATGTGCAACCTTTATATGCATATGGGGCAATTTAAAATACCATGACTTGGGTCAAAGTCCTCAAAGTACCATCCTTGATTTTTAAAACTCTAAAGAGGTCTTGTGCTGCAGATTTGCCTCAGACAACACGTCTTTTAGGCTCTTGACTGCTGCTTCCATGAGTGTTGATTGTAGAGCCAAGGAAGACAAAATCCTTGACAGCTTCAACTTTTTCTCCATTTATCATGCTACCTATTGTAATTGCAGAAGATGGGATTGTGAAGGGGTGAGAGCTCATTGTTGACGGAGGGGAAATGGCTCGAAAAGCCCCCGTTGGACTGCAGGGGAGTAAAATGGATTTAGTGTGGCTCTTCTACTCAGAATCCTGGTAATTCCCACCAAAGGACTGGGTGCGAACATGCCTACAGGTCGTATGGGACTAATATGTGGGGATTTGTTAGTTTTGTCATTACATTGAATATACAGTGAGCCATCTTTGGCTTAGAAAGAGAGAGAATTCCATGGCCCCCAAGAAAGACGAGCTAGATTTCTCAGGTGGATAACACCGCAATTCTTGGATTCGCAAGAGAAAGAATTCCCACTGAAGCCTGGTTTGTAATCCAAGTGGGTTTTTATAAAGGACGGGAGAAGTTTCAGGTTTCACAGTCTCAAAAGAATACATGCTGTTTCAGGGAAGCATGCCAGACCACACAGCAGCCACACTGGGGCTCACAACAGAACATGGGCAACTTTGGGGGACTGGGTGTCCACACGTGGTCACCTGAGGCCAGAGAGTGAGCAGCACAGCTGAGTGGGCACAGGAGCAGCATAGAAGAGAGGAGAGAATCCTCTCTGACCTGCCACCGACCAGGAGTGGGGCAGGGGTTGTATAAGAGACCTGTCCTCCTGCTACCAGGGTATTCTAAAACTCCAGCTGAGGAGGCATGGTAGAAGGTATTAGTTGACCTTATTGCCTGAATTAAGCCCACCTAGGTGGGGTCATGAGCCTGGGCCTAGTTTGGGGCACCCAGGTGTAACGCCCTCCTGGCTGGGGAAGGAGGCCTGAGTTGGAGCATGCCCAATTAAAGTCTTTCATGGGTGGTTAATGCTTGTCTGATCCCCACCCCCACCCCCACTCCAACCTCCTGTAAGTGGGGGGTGGGCTGTGCAGGCATGGGAGGGACAACCCCCTGTCCCTCTCTTGGCTACCTAACAAAACTATTCATCTCTCCCTGATTGGAAGAAAGAAGAGTGATGGAGATCAAAGATAAATGGAAACAATTAGCCCATTGGACTAATGGACCACCTGAACATTAGTCTCCACAACCTTGAGACCAAGAGAACTAGATGGTGCCTGGGTTCAACTAATTGGATAAAGTTGTGGGGGTTGGTGGGGGGGGGGCAGCACCTGAGTGGGCCAGGCAGGCAGGCAGGGTAATGTGAAACACAAATCAAAATTATAAAAGACACCAGGCTTACTGGATGGAAAGAGATAGATGGGACCCCAAGACTAAGGCCCTGAGTCACCCTTCAGGTTTGGAATGGAACCCACCCCTGTGATAAAATAACCATTTAAGACCACAAGGGCAGCATTTATCCAGAGACAAAGTTCAGAGGGCTAGGAGGGAGAAAGTGGAATGACCCCCTGAGGGAAATCTAAGCAGCAGGTTTATACGGCTTTCTCCCCACACAACTGATACCTGCTCTGTAAACCTTCATCTACTTCACAATAAACACTGTGAAACTAAAAGTCAAAATCATGACTTTTCCTGCCCTGATGAATTCAAAGACAAGCCATGTGCGTAAGTATTTTTTTAAGTCAGTCTTTCCCATCCTCACTCCCTGAAGAGCTTCGATGTTCTCTCTCTCGGAAGTTCTAGATGGAGCCCCAGGCCTTTTCAAAGGCAAATATACTGACGCTGAAAGTCTGGTCAGAGGTCAGAATTTCTACCCATGGCCACATATTCTCAAACTCCAAAATGAAACTCAATTCTGACTCTGAAAAGAACTGCCCCTCTGGATGTCTGAGATTCTATATGGGAGTAAAGAGCCTCCTCCTTCTCCCACGGAGTGCTGGTAGTTTTGAACTTCTGACTTTGTGGTTAGCAGCCCAACATAGAATTCACTGTATCTCCAGGGCTGTAGCCCCACATCTGGATGGGTCCTAAGGGATGGTCGTATCATTAAGGGAAGACATTAAGAGACACACAAACGTTTTGGGGTGCTCACCTCCACCATGGC